TCTTTCATAGTTCAATATTGTCAAGAACTAAAGCGCATGTATGTTTGCTAATAGCAAACAACCCTCCATAGTATTGAACTGGGCTGCATTTTAGAGCATTTGGATCTATTTCAGGGGTCTCAAACCGTTGGTTGCAATCCACAACCACCACAGAACCTGCCGAACATCAGTATTTGCCTTACTTTTCCTTAAAAATGTTGGCGTTTGATGGCAAGTGTTTGTGTTTCCCAAAGGAAAGGGGAATAAGCTCAGTGTCCCTGCTGTTCTGTAGCTGCCTAACACAAGTACACCAAGGCCTGCTAGTTAAAATTACAAACATGAGTTGGCTCTGCTTTTCCAGGATCATGCGTGAAGCATAACACTGACCATGCACAAGAAGGGTAAGTAATCTTAGCAGCGGGCCCTGAACGTGAGCAATTCTGGCCAAAGACTTGGCCTTACATTGGGACATAATAATAATAAATAAAAACATCTCAGTTTCAACTAGAAAGACACAGAACTGTTATTTTTCAGCAAGGCAAGTTTATTTATTCCCACAGGAGGTAAACAAACATGGCCACTAGGGAGAGCTTAGGACAAAATGTACTTGACCTGCAATAGATAAACCTAAAGTCTCCAGTCTGAGAACAAGCTCAGTTTTCTGCCCCTCTCAGCTCAAGTCATCGTACGTTATCTTTCAAAAGAAAAAAAGCTAATGTAAAGGATGTACCACATGCTGAAGCAAGACTTGAGAATATAGGCAGTTTTGTCAGCTGAACATGGGCAGAGTAGGGCAGACAAGCAATCACTAAATCTAAATTCAGTACTATCGCCACTAAATTACCTAGGGGGGAGTCATTGAATTGCTCAATGCCTTAGTACCCCTGCCTATGATATTGAGAGGTATCAGTACACTGAATATACCAACATTTTCATTACTGAATGCATACAGAATTCCAAACCCTAAAGACACTAATTAAAGGAAATTATTTTGATAATTAAGCAAAACAAAATTATTATTAATTTATAATAATTAATTTTAAACATATTAATAATCATAATTTTTAATAATTATTAATTTATGGTAAATAATAATTTTGTTTTATAATAATTCTTGTTATTCAGGTGTCAGCTCATATGATCACCTCCGAATTATTTTGATAATTAAGCAAAACAAAATTATTATTAATTTATAATAATTAATTTTAAACATATTAATAATCATAATTTTAATAATTATTAATTTATGGTAAATAATAATAATTTTGTTTTATAATAATTCTTGTTATTCAGGTGTCAGCTCATATGATCACCTCCTCGGAAAGAACTTCCTTAAACTCCCTATCAAAACTAACTGCATTCTCCCCATCCTCACATTTCCGTGAGGTTTTTCTCCCCTCCCAGCATTTATTACTACCTGAAATTGTCTTATTTATTCATGTGTTTGCCTATTCTCTCTTTCTCAGCCATGACAATAGCAATCTTTGCCTATCTCACTGCTTTATCCTGGCTGGCTCAATAAGTACTTGTTGAATGAATTAATACTAGGTTTAAATAACTTGAAAAGAAGAACAAAGCTGGAGAACTAACACTATCTGACTTCAAGACATATTATAAAGCTACAGTAATCAAGACCATGTGATCTATGGCTATACCACCCTGAACATTCCGGATCTGTCTAATCTCAGAAGTTAAGCAGGGTCAGGCCTGGTTAGTACTTGGATGGGAGACCATGTGGGCATACAAGGTGCTGTAGGCTTTAAAAAAAAAAAAAAGGCCACATGTTATTGGCAAAAGGATAGACAAATAGATTAATGGAACAAAATAGAGTCCAGAAGTAGACCACACATAAATGGACAAGTGATTTTCAAGAAAGGTGCAAATTCAATGGAGATAGATTGTCTTTTCAACAAATGGTGCTAGAACCAACAGGATATTCTTATGCAAGAAAGAGAACATGTACCCACACCTCAAACCATTCACAAAAATTAATTCAAAGTGGATCATAAACCTGAAACTATAAAACTTATATATGACAAAAGAGAAAACATTTGAGACCTTGGGTTAAGCAAAGATGTCTCAGAAATGATACTAAGAGCAAGATCCATTAAAAAAAATTGATTAACTGGACCTGATCAAAATTAAAAACCTCTGCTCTTCAAAACACACCGTTAAGAAAATGAAAAGACAGGCCACGGACTAGGAGAAAATATTTGCAATTCTGCTAAAGAACTTGTATTCAGATTATACGAAGAACTCTCAAAGATCAATAAGAAAACAACTTTAAAAATAGGCAAAAGATTTGAACAGAGTTGTCATCAACGAAGACAAACAGACAGCAAATAAGCACATGAAAAGATCAACATTATTAGTCATTTTACGATGAGATACCTTGACACATCCACTAAAAAGGCTAAAATGAATGACTGATGGTACCAAGTGTTGGAGAGGACATAGAGGAACTCTCATCTATGGTAGGAATGTAAATGGTATAGAACTACTTTGGAAAACAGTTTGGCAATTTCTGAAAAAGTTAAATATACACCTCCTACACTATCCAGCCATCCCATTTGTAGGTATTAACCGAAGACAAATGAAAGCATGTCCATACAAATACGTGTACATGAGTGTTCAGAGCATTTTTATTTGTGATAGCCAAACTCTGGAAACAAGCAAATACCCATCAACAGGTGGACAGATAAGCAAACTGCAATATACCCATACAATGAAATACTACTAACCAATAAAAATTAATGAACTATTTGGCACAAGCTCAGCATAATTACGCTGAGCAGAAGAAGTCGAACCAGGGCTGGCCAGTTAGTTCACTTGGTTAGAGCATGGTGCTGTTAACACCAAGATCAAGGATTCAGATCCCCTTACCAGCCAGCTACCCTCCCCCCACACAAAAAAAAAAAAGACGCCAGACCAAAAGAGTACATACCAGATATAATTCCATTTATATAAAAATCCTAGGAAATTCAAGCTAACATATAGTAACAGAAAGCACAACAGTGGTTGCCTGAGAACAAAGGAGGGATTCTAAAAGGCACGAAGAAGCATCAAGAGAGGTGATACATATGTTCATTATCTTGAGGGGTCAAGATATATGAAATGTATATATATATGTCAAAACTTATCCAATTGTATACTTTAATATACGCAATTTATTAAATGTCATTTATAATTCAATAAAGCTGCCTAAAAAATAAAATGGACTTACAATTTAAAAAATAATAAACAATTCCCAGTTATGTGTGTTATGTTTATAATTTGACTTTTTAAGTAGAACACATTTCTTTTTTGTAACAGGTGAGTAAGAAATACCAGGACCAAAGGGGAGAAGGAATCACTCCATATCAAACTGTCATCTTTACCACTTGCTCCTTTGGCTATGCTCACACTTCCCTGCTTCTAAACTAACAAGCTGGACAATGTAGGGTCTATTACTACCAACACCCTTTCCCCACTCCCAGCCCCCAGTCTTTTTGTCCCCTACAGCAGCAGACCCTTACTTGTCTGGAAGAGCAGACACAAGGAACAAAAGGTTCAATGACTATTTGACAGATTAAAGAATAGACAACTGTTTTATTTAAAAGCTCCCTAAAGAATTAGAACATTTGAGGCTGCATACTTTTCTGCTCAAATACAGTTATATATTACCCAGTTCTGTAAGCAGAAGACCAATAGACCTGTCCAAGTCACTCACTTCCTAAGTTTTCAGTTTTCTTTTTTCTCCCTTTTTTTGTTGCAGGACCATGCATGAACAACTTGCGGGGGTGTTTTGAAGAGACATTCCTGGTATTTTGAAAAGTATCTCATCCAAATAGACCCAACAGCTTGAAAGTGTTTTTTCAAATGTCTAAGACAGTGACCATAACTGGACAATCAGGGAAAAGAATAAACAATGGGTCTTATGTAGGATTATTATCTGAAAACAATAGGTCACACTACTGTTTGATAACAAAATTAAGCCTTACAAATGATTAGCAATAGTTATCAAATAATAGCAGCAACATGGTGATTATCAGTGGGGATTCTGGCTCCACCACTTATTAGGTGAGTGACATTAGGCAACTTGCTTAACTTCTGAAACTCAGTTTATTCACTTTTAGAACGGAGATAATAGTAGCGACCTGATAGAGTTGTTAAGATTAAATGTGTTTGGCTTAAAGCAAGAGCTAAATCAATGTTAGCTATTAGTAGTAGTATTATCCTGAACTTTCAGAGGACCTCATTAACTTCCTAATCATTCTTCTTACCCTTGGTTTCAAATCCTGTCATTTACTAACATTTTACTTCTGAGCCTCAGTTTCTACATCTGTAAAACGGGTACCATTAAAATTATCCGACTTTTAAGGCTATAGTGAAGGATTAAATGACTGGATACAGCTCCCTTCCCTCCCACCTCCCAAAGCGAAGATCGCAGAGGAAGGAAATACTTCTAGTGGCTGCAGATACAGTCAGTTTTTCCATTTGTGGCACGTGAGAGACGGGGGGGAAAGGAGATGCAAAGGTGCATATAATAGGGTCGGGGGTCCTGAGCGAAGTCCCCAAATGTGCGCGAGTGGCAGTGACCCAGCGCGGCTCGGCCGTAGGGGACCTGGCCCCGCGCTTTTCCCTTCCCGTGTCCCGAGGAGCCTCCCCAAGTGAGCGGGGTTATTTCAGAATCACCATGAGGCAATTCTCATGAGGCAATGGGTCAGGAATGCGGCGCCGAGCCGGGCCGCTGGCGTCCGCGGTTCCCCCGGCGGTTCTACCTGCCCCCGTCCTGACCGGCATCCCCGGGACTGCGGTAGCCGGAACTCGGGGAGGCAGGAAATGAATGGGGACCCAAGGGGTGGGGGCGCGATGGGGCCGGGCCCCTGTCCCCGAGAAGACAAGGGGGATGGGAAGGAACCTGCCCCCCCATCCAGGGCGAGAGTCCGAAGCCCAGCCGAGGCGCCCCCTCCCGGGCGGGGCTGACCCAACACGGCGGGAGCCGGCACTAGGCTCGGGCCGGGCCCCTTGGGGATCCTCACCTCCGCGATGTCATGTTCCTCCCGACCTCCGGCTCCGCGACGGACCCGCTCCTTGCTCAGGCTCCGCTGGGCCCGGTCACATCGGGCTGGCCCGAGGGAGGCCTGCTCGGGACCGGACGGGGGGCAGTGCCAGCCGGCCGCGCGCAGACCCCCCTCCAGGACTAGGGATCCCGGAGACTGTGCAGCCGCCCCCCAACCCGGCTCGCTCCTCCTCCTCCCCCGCCCTTCGCCGCCGGCGCCACCGTGACGTCACCCCACGCGACGATCGCGGCCACTTCCTGCTTCCCCTCTGCCGGGGACTGAACAGAGGCTGGTAATGGCAGTTCGGTGGTTCAATAGAGCCACCGCTGCGCAGTTCCCCAAGCAACCTCGGGGAACTTCCTCCTTTAAACCTTGTCTGCAGTGTGTGAGCTGCGCGCTCATTTGTACGCCCCCACGGACCGATTGCATCTGTTCTCGCGGTGTCAATGCCATCCCCGCGCATACTGCCAAATCGAGTCATTCATTTCGCTCCACAAATCGCCGCTCCACTGTGTAACCTTGGGAAAGTTAATTTCTCTGAGCCTCAGTTTCCTTCATTCCTTCATTTCTGTAAAATAAAGATGGTAATTGTATTTTCTTAATAGGGTTATTGTGGAGATTAAACATGTAAAATGCTTAGAACTGGGCCTTGTCTATATAGTGCTTTATAATTGTAAGTTGTTATTATAATGCAACATCTGTTGAGTGTTTTCTTCCTGCTAGGCACTGTTTTATACTATGGGGATATAACAGTGAACAAAAACTACAGAAATCCCTGTGTTCTCTTAGGAGAAGCTAGAGTGGGGGGGTGTAAATATAGGGCTGGCTGGTCAGCTCACTTGTTTAGAGCACGGTAACTCCAGGGTCAAGGGTTCAGATCCCCATACCGGCCAGCAGCCAAAACAACAAAATCAGTAAATAAATATATTTTTATTTACTTACTTATATATTTATTTTTTTTCTATAAAAATGAATTTTAAATTTATATGTATATAACTTTTATATATGAGCTACATGAGGTAAAAAGGGGCTATGGAGAAAAGACAACAAGGGAAGATGTGACTATTAACATTTTAAATAGGGTACTTTAGTGAAGGCTTCACTAAGAAGATGACTTACTGACCTCCCCCCACATGAACTCTAGTTTTTGCTTCTCAGACTAGAAGCCACTTCCTCTGGGACAGGAAGCCTTGCCTGATTCTTCCAGTTCAAGTTAGATGGTTGCCAAAACACCTACCCTAGCTTAGAACTTAATACATTCCATCATAAATCTTTTTATATTATTTATTTTTTTGGCAGTTGGCCGGCACAGGGATCAAACCATGGATCTTGGTATTATCAGCACCATGCTCTAACCAGCTAAGCAAACAGCCAGCCCCTTCACCATAAATCTAAGAGGCAGATCATGTGGGGTTATGTTCTTGACCTTCCTGCCTGGATGTCCATAGGCAAGTCACTTGACTCCTCTGCATCTCAGTTTCCTTCTCTGTTAAATGGGGATCAAAATACTACCTACCCGCTAGGTAGGTTTGTGAAGTACCTAGAACAGTGCCTGGAAAAGTAAGCAAGTAAGCACTGGATAAATACTGGTTATCATTTGTCTTTTTTCCAAAGTAAACTATAAGCTCTTTGAGTGCAGGGACCATTACCTTCCTAGCCTGTCCTACATTCTGTACACTCTAGAATGATCTTTCTAGAATACAGATCTAATCATGTCACTCCCTGTTCTACGAAGGAGGTTCAAAGCCTTCATCATTAAATTGAAAACCTTACATTAAGCACATCAGGCCCTTATAGATATGGTATGCCAGCAACCTCACATATATGTAATCTGGCAGTTTCCAAAGGCCTCTTGCTGTTTCTTGCATCCTGGCCTTCCAAAATTTAGTTCCTTCTACCTGGAATATTCAAACCTTTCTCCACCTGGAAAACTAAGTATCATGCAAAGTTTAGCTCCAACTCAAGCAGCTCCTCCAGGAAACATTGTCTGCATACACCCTTTGACCACTTGCTGAGAATAAAACAGAGGCTGCCTTCCTGTGCTCTTGGGGCAGCCTGTTCATGCCTCTATCAGCACCTAACACATTTCAACATCATTGTTGGCTGACTCTTCTGTCTCTTCCCCTAGATTATGAGCTCCTTTTAAAACAAAGTCATTGTCTTCTTCCTCCTGATATGTCCAGAGCTTAGCACAATACCTGGCAAATAACAAACAAGATTAAGACATATTCATTTAGACATACTTTATTTGAATTTCTTTCCTACCTACAAAAGTAATACAAGTTTCTTGCAACAAGTCAAATAAAAACAGTAAATTTCTCTATTCCTCAGTATATACATCTTCCCTACCCCAATCCCACTAGTGTTAATGATTTGGTGTGTATCCTTCCACTTTTTTCTCTGTACCCGTACAAACACACATGCACATCCCACACCCACACTCACTCACATACATCATACATATAAGAATTTTTTTCTATTTTATTTTTTTAATGGGTTCATAATATGTGTATGTATTTATTGGTTCATAGTATGTATAGGTTATATACACACATATACACATACATGTGTGTATATATTTGTGTTTTGATTTCATTATTTCCAGGGTTTTGTGAGTTTTGGGGGGATTTTTTTTTTACACCAAAAATAGTGCTTCCATGAACTTCCTAATGAGAAAATTATTGAGTGAGTGAGTGAATCACTATGTTGACCTTAATATTATCAATATTGTCAGTACCCTCCCCATTTTATAAATAAGAATGCAGATGTGCAGTGGCTTATCATATAGCAAGTAGCTCCCAGACTACAAGTGCCCTTTCTGCAGTTCAACTACCTACTGGTTTTGTGTTCTTTTGTAGCACAAATATGTATAATTCAATTTAAGTATATGTGTGACCATGGGTAAGTCATTTATTGCATTTACTGTAATCGAACCTCGGTTCTTTTATCTTAAATTCTTACTTCACAGTAAAGTTACATTGAGGTTTAAAATGATTTAGCATCTGTCCAGTTAGTTCAGTCGGTTAGAGTGCGGTGTTATAACACTAAGGTCAAGAGTTAGGGTTCATATCCCAGTACTGGCCAGTCAGCCTCCGCCCCCCCCCCCAAAAATGATTTAGTGTCTGCAAAAATGTCTGCCTTGTGATTAAAGTACTGCACAAATTTAACAACATTTTATATATGGTAAAATCAAGTGCTTAATAATAATGTTTACTTTATAACCAACATTGCTGATATTTTACCTAACTAATGAATTGTAAGTTGTGCAATACCACAGCAAAACACAAGAGGGGGTTCACTTGTGTTTTTATTTCAATGGCAGGTCATTTAACAAATATTTCTGGGCATTTACTGGGGGAAAATCTCTGAGATTGTCAGAATGTTTTAGGGGCTAAAGTAAGCAACTCCGCATTTCATTCACTGCGATACAACTTCTGCAGCAGCAGTTTCTAAGAGGTGCTTTGTCCAGGAAGCTGCTGACATTCCTATTCTCAAAAAAGAGCAGTGTCCAAGCTTTTCCTTGAGATATACATAATGAACAGTGAATAATCCTAAACTGGCATAAAATGCGGTCTATTAGGATCACACTCATCCTTAATCTATATGGAGGGAAGACTGGTTTAGAACCAAGTTTCAGCAGGAGTGGCAATTGCATTCATTGGGGTCTAAAAGGTTCCATTCGAACCTCTGAGACCTTCAGGGGCATCTTATCACTGTATTTGTAACCTCAGACAACCAGAACTAAAAAAAGGGTGAATGACTCCTAGAGACAAAGCTATGAAGCTGGTGATTTGGATCTGAAGAAATCAAGGGGAAAAGTTCTAGCCACCAGCCAAAGACAAATGGAAGAGAATGGAAAATTCAAGCCAGATGGTATCACAAATGTGTACATTTCACCTTAAGGGTTCTGACCTGGTAAATAACTATCAGATATACTGTGTTGTTTACTTTGTGAAAGATAATAACTATTGTTTAGTTCTTGGCAGCTGGCTGATACAGAGAGCAACAACCCTGGACCTTGATGCTTTCGGCACCACACTCTAACCGACTGAGCTAACTGGCCAGCCCTTATTCTAATTTTTAATTCCAATATGAGCCAAGAACTCTCTTATTCATCTTCATTAATTATCTCTTTAATCTTTACAGCCTAATGGTTAAGAGTGTAATCTTTGGAATCAGATCTACGAGGTGAGCAAGTTACTTAACTTCTTTGAGCCTCAGTTGCCTCATAATAGTATCCTTTGTAGGTTGTTGGTAGGATTAAATGAGATAAAGCAGGGCACATCGTACAGTTCTTGGCACATAGCATGCAAGTTGCTCTTATTATCTCTGGTGCATAAACTTTAGTGGAATACTTGGGGCTTAGTAGGACCTCATCAACAACTACCATGTTGATGATGATGATACTGATGGTGGTGTTGGTGGCGGTGATAACAAAAGCTAACATTTATATAGAACTTACCACACATCGAATACCAGTATGGTTCTTAGTGCTTTTGTGCATATTAATTTATTTAATCTTCCCAACAACGATAACAATAGTACTTCCTTATGAGGGAAGTACTATTGTTATCCCCATGTTAGAAATGAAGAAATTGAGTACAAAGTGTCCGGTAAATTCTTCTAGAAGGAATGAGTGACCATGCTCCTATATGCCTCCATGTATGTGCATTTATTGTTCCAACTGCCACTTTCATCTGCCTAATTTCTTATTTATTCTTCCAAACCCAACACAAAAGTGAACTCTTCCATAAAACTTTCCTAAATTTCCCTGGAGAAATAATTTATAATTATTAATTTTTTGTGTGCTTTTTCCTTGATTGTGTATTCTTTGAGAGCGGGAATATATTTCATGCATTTTATTATTTATTTATTTATTATTTATTTTATTTATAAGAAAATAGCAGAGCTGAGAGAGCTATTTTATGTATTTTAAATCCTAGCTTCTTTGACTCTCCCCCATAGAGCATAGTCTACAGTCTGATTAGGGGATGTAGGCATTAATCCAACTGTTGAGAAAATGTCTGTGGCAGATTCTCAACTAGCCTTTCATTGGAAAGATTTCACTTTACTTGGAGAATATGTCCTTCATCCATTATCCATTCTTTTTTTTTTTTTTTTTTTTTTTTTTCGTGTCCGGCAACGGACCGCAACCCTCAGTGTTGCCCCCGCACCTCGCTCAGCCAGTGAGCGGGAACCGGTCTGTATGTGGGATCCGAACCCTCCCCGGGAGTGCCACCGCGCTCCCAAGCGGCGCACTGTAGCAGTGCGCCACAGGGCCAGCCCCACCATTATCCATTCTTATAGTGAAAATGGTAGTGTGAAAATGGTTAGTAAGCAAAACCAAAAATGCAATCTTAGACCGGTTCCCAGAGATACTTTCAGAATTTCACTATTTTGTGCATCTATTGACACCTGAAGCAGTTACTGTCTCCTGCTTAAGGTTTCCACCACAGATGCAAGAAAATAGTATCCTCGAGCTTTCTATCTAATTGTGGCAGCCAAGACTGAATGGAAGAATACGGGGGAGGTGGTGGGGACCGAAAGAGAATTTTTGCAACTCAGAGATAACCTTGTTAACAGTGAAGAGTCAGTTTTACTCCAACGAAAAATCTAAAATTTAAGTTCACACGAGAAGTGTTGGAAAATTATTTGCCCTATACCCTCACCTGGTTGATTCCACCTTTAAAATCTTAAAAGGTTAAAATTAATTAAAGGCAAGCCAGTGATTCTTTAAAAAAAATTACCTTCCACCTCTTACTACAAAAAATAGTTCCCTATATAGGACTAGTACTACATTTCCCATGATGCCCCAGATCCGGAAGGAAGTGAGACTCAACACCTCCCATGATTGCTTATAGACCGGAAGCCGGGACTTTTAGTTCTCTTTCCCATCTTGCAAGGTGAGAATGGCGGTCTTGTATGCAAGACTCGATTTCAGGACCCCAATCCTTCGCCATCCGAACCTGGAGGGCATCAAATCGACACCTACGGGAGTCGGACATGCCCAGGCCCACTGAGAGGCCTCCCCAGACTCTTAATTTCTTTCGCTGGGGTTTGAGGCGGGGGTCGAAAAGGGTGAGGTGGAATGCCAGGGAGGCTCTGGCTGTTTGGCACCCTCTTGGGCAGTGGGAACGGACCCCTGCAGGGACCCGTAACTGGCTAGCGGGGCTAGGAGGACCAGGGCGAGGGCGCGCTCTCCGGAATCCTGGGCCCATGTTCTAAAAGATGCCGCTGAGCTTGTTTTAGCCACGTTGGGATTTGGGGCTGAAGCCGAAAGCTTCTTTGCAGTCTTTCCACGTCCGCGACCGGAAGTCGTCTGTTGGTCTTTGAGCATTTTTCAGTCTAGACTGAGTTTGGGCTCGTTTTTGTGTTATCACCTTCTAAACCGAATTTCTTTAATGAGACAGTGGTGTTGAAAGTTAAGAGCAAAGGTCATGAAAGCAAACTGTTTCAAGTTCTAGTCTCGCTGCTTGCTAGTTGTAGAGACTGTTAAAAACTCTGTCTTAAGTAAATATCTTAGGGGAGTAGGATATTTCCTCACCCTCAGAAAGTTTATAATGTGTCGGGGAGACAACCCCGAAATTAACCATAATGAGGGTTGGAGTAGGGGTGTGGAGTTTGGGAGGAAACCCTGTATTTCGAGGGGGGAAGACTTCTAGTCTGGGAAGCCCAGCCCATCTATGTACATTTTCAGTATTGCCTTGTTATGGGTGATTGTTGACATGTCTTCTTTTTTTTTAATTGATAGATGACGGGTGAAAAAGCTAAGGAGCCGGATACTAAGGAGAAGAAACCTGAAGCCAAGAAGGCTGATGGTGGTGGCAAGGTTAAAAAGGCTAACCTCAAGGCTAAAAAGCCCAAGAAGGGGAAGCCCCACTGCAGCCGAAACCCTGTCCTCGTTAGAGGAATTGGCAGATATTCCCGATCTGCTATGTATTCCAGAAAGGCCATGTACAAGAGGAAATACTCAGCGAATAAGTCCAGGGTAAGAGATGAGGGAAACCACTGGACGTTATATTTTAACCTCAAGGTTTTTGTCTGCCTCTGACTTTTTGATGTATATTTGCCCTTGTAGATTGAAAAGAAGAAGAAGGAGAAGGTTCCTGCTACTATCACAAAACCAGTTGGTGGTGACAAGAATGGTGGTACCCGGGTGGTTAAACTTCGCAAAATGGTAAGATTTGGAGGAGACTGTTTGGACTTTTAGTTTAAGCTCTCATTACTGTGAAGATTTTTTTGTGTGTATACTCAAGTTATACAAGTTTCTATATGCCAAAGATTTGCTAAGCACAGGTAAAGGGTTCTGGGTTTGCAACTTGGCTTCGACATTTACTGTTTAATCTTAAATAAATTGAGTTGCTTTTCTGTGCTTTGTCTTTTCACATATAAAATAGGAATAAAGGTTTACCTCAGAGGGTTGTTGTGGAGACTGAATAATATATAGAGCCTAGGACACACTGCTTGTCCTATAGAACATTTATTTATCCACTAGAGCAGTGCTGCTTGGCCCCCTTTACCACACGCAAGACCCAGTGTATTCTCAAGGGCTTGCTCTGTAATTTCCATTATGGAAACAGTCCCAGGTATTTTACACACTTCAAATCGAGAATTACTGCATCATAGGGAAAATGGCACTTTGATTTCCCTGTCTTGTGAGCTTCTCGTCTTGTGACTTGGTTTTCCTATTAGGTGTTAATGTTTGATGAGCAATACTGCAGTAATGATATGGTATAGTTAAGAAATAGGTTATTGTGAGTTATTGTCATTGTATCCTTAATAGTTCTTGTATGGTGTCTTATTTTTACGATAAATGTACTGGCAGTTTTAACATCTAGCTTTGTGCAATTTGTTTACCATTGTGGATAAAATGGGAGGATCGGATGAAGTGTTGAGGATATGAACACGCTTTATTTTAATTGGAAAACAAGCCATGCTTCCCTCTTCATAAAATGCAAAATGTGGTGTCTGGGACATGTGTTTTTCTGAAAGAGTTTACATTAGATAGAGGTCAGGGACTCCAGAAAAGCTTTCTCGAGAATGACTGCCACGACGATATAGAGGTGGCTTGCCTTGTAATCTCTGAAGTTTAGTTTTATCCCAGAATTCTACTTATGAGAAATGAAAATGCAATAGTGTGAATAAGGCATTTGAGTTTCAAATAAGTAAAAAGGTTGTAGTAGAAGTTTCACTGACATCAGAACTCAGTTCTCCTAATCTGAATGGCTTATTTCAATAAGTGGGACCCATGGACTCTCTCCAGCCTAGATATTATCCTACTGAAGATGTTCCTCGAAAGCTGTTGAGCCACGGCAAAAAACCTTTCAGTCAGCACGTGAGAAGACTGCGAGCTAGCATCACTCCAGGGACCATTCTGATCATCCTTACTGGGCGCCACAGAGGCAAGGTGAGCCAAGTACCTCAGGTTGTGCAGCTTCACTGCAGTTGCCTGGAGTGTTTTTACTCTGGATGTCGGATTCCTTTATTTACCTGTGTTCTGCAGGGTGGTGAGAATGGCCCATACTGTAAAATTGACAACCCAGTCACTCGCTAGCAGAGCATTCAATATAGAGATGGTCATACAGACTGCGCATAGTTTTTCCTACTGTTTTCACCTAGTGTAAACATCTTCCTGTTGTTACAAATAATAGATTTAATCCAGAATATATAATAATTGACTTAACCAGTTCGTGCTGTTCGTTATATTACTTGTTACAAATAACATATTTACTTGAAAATGTTTGTATTGTAGTTACTTCCCTAGTAGCTTGGTGTGGTTGCTTCCAGAACTGCCAAGCCATATACGTGTAGAATTTCCTTTTCTAAATATAGATGCCTGTGATTTGATTCAGAAGTCAGTTTTTAGTTTCCCAAAACTAATTATTTCCTGTTTAATTTACAGAGGGTGGTTTTCTTGAAGCAGCTGAGCAGTGGCTTGCTACTTGTGACTGGTAAGAAAAACTTCAGATTTTTATATTCTCTGAAACTTGGATTTTTAAATGCTTGCAGTATATACATTTGCTACCATCCACTTGGAAGTTTCTCAATGCCATGAGATTCTGCCCCCCATTTCATTGCCTTGTATACATCTTAGTTAAATGAAGCCAGGTATTTTGTGTAGCAACACAAGAAGTAACTGCCACCTAGAATAAGGAATGATTGGCTACTGGTACCAAGGAGTTCATCTTGCATAAAATGTGTAATTGGTCCGTCACTTGGTATCAAGATGGAGTTACTAAACAGGCAAAAAGTGAATTGTTTCACTCTGTGAGCAGTACTCAGCTACCTTCAGAGACCTCTGGTTTTAACCAACCTTGTTTTAGTGTACCTTTTTCCAAGTTGGGTGACTTTAAAAGATGTGTGGGGGAAGGAAAACCTTAGACAAACTGAAATCTTAATTCTTGGTGCTGCGTGCTGGCAATAGAAAGAACAGTTTGAAATTTCTCCAAATACAGACAATGCCTACTCAAGTCAGTTCTTAAATGATTATTTCCTCTTTCCCTCACTAAATTTTTTTCCTTAGGACCTCTGGTCCTCAATCGGGTTCCTCTACGTAGAACACACCAGAAATTTGTCATCGCCACCTCTACAAAAATTGATATCAGCAATGTAAAAATACCAAAACATCTCACTGATGCATACTTTAAGAAGAAGAAGCTGCGGAAGCCTAGACACCAGGAAGGTGAGATCTTCGACACAGAAAAAGAGGTAAGGTTCTATTTCTGTCATCTCCTGTGATAGCACTGGCCCCTTGTAGCTAGGAGTAAAAATAAACAGAAGAAAAATAAAAGGTAAATAATGTGAAATGTCTGGGAAATACTTAGTATTTTTCCTGATTCTTCTAAAGTCAGTAGTTCTTTTGGGGGCCTGGGAGCTCAACTCAGAGTCCTGAGGTTTTGGTGGAACGCTTCCAGGAACTACTGCTATCGTTGTATTGAGAATTTACTTTTATTTATCTTTGCTGCATATTAAAGTAGACAAAAGGATAAGAGCTACTTTTTTTTTCTTATTTTCACTATTTTAATTATGTAAGAAACTAGTTAGAGCATGGTGTTAAAACACCAAGGTCAAGGTTCAGAAACCCCCTACCAGTAACTGCCAAAAAAAATAAAAAAGGGACAGGTTGTACTTCACAGCCTGCCAAGGAAAGGACTATCAAAATTGCCTTTAATCGTTTTCTAAATATTCCTGGGACTTGAACACTTGTGAGACAGGATTCCTTAGTGAATTGCATAGTTCAGTATTTGTGCCTGTTTGTTTTTGTGTGCATGTGCCTATTTTTAAATGTTTAAATTTTCTTTTTATTTAGAAGTACGAGATTACAGAGCAGCGCAAGGCAGATCAGAAAGCTGTGGACTCGCAAATTTTACCAAAAATCAAAGCTGTTCCTCAGCTCCAAGGCTACCTGCGATCTCTGTTTGCCCTGACGAATGGAATTTATCCTCACAAATTGGTGTTCTAAATTTCTTACCAAGAACCAAATTAAATAACTGATATATTTCATTTGTGTCTCTGTCTTTGGAGGGGAGGGTGTGGTGAAAAAAACTTACCTGCCAAGAGGTGTGATTTGGCCCTGCCAACGTAACGGGATTTTTGCCTCTCCTCTAAAGAATGGGATGGGAGGGGAGTGGGGTCTGCAGTAGAGCCTGCTCCTCATCAGCTTTGAATCAGCATTTTTCACTTCAGGTTTATACTTAGTGTCTGGCTTCTCGGCTTTTTCACCCACACTCTACCGATATAAAACAGTAGCGTTTTCCCAATTGTCCCTGAATAAGCAATACTAAACTATGTAGATGAGAAGCAACTGTGGGTTCTTCAGACTGCAGACCTCCTCCCCTTTAGTTTCTTAACATGTGCTTAATTCTCAGCCCCTCCCCCACAGTCATTGCTACTTCTTGTGGAGCAATCCCATTTTCTCACAGGCTGATGTTCTTTTATAGGCAGCTCCTGCTCCCATTAACCATTTATTAAGTTTGTGTTCGTGTAGTTTCCCTTTTTCCAGGAAGTCATATAGTATGCAGTCTTTTAAGTCTGCATTAGCATAATAAACTTGTGAGATTTGTTCATATTCATGGTTAAGTATTATTTACTAGTATTCCACTGTATCAGTGTATCACTGTATCCAATTCACCATTTGAAAGACATTTGGACTGCTTACAATTATTGCTGATTATGGGTAAAGCCACTATAAACATCTGTGTACAGGTTTTTGTGTGGATGTATGTTTTATTTTGGGTGAATACCTGGGAGTAGGATTGCTGGGTTGTATGACAAGTGCACTTTTAGCTTTGTAAGAAATAGCCAAACTCCTGCATCTCACCAGCTGTGTATCATAGTTCCAGTGTTCCACATCCTTGTCAGCACTTGGTATTTTCAGTTTTAAAAAAAGTTCTAGCCATTCTAACATGTAGTGATAGGCTCTGATATATTTTGAAGTAAATCTGAACATGTCATTCTTCTGCCCAGGCACTTTAGTAAGTCCATATCACTCTTAGGTTCAGTTCCAAAACTGGCTGCAAAGCCCTCTCAAGCCCAGTCTTCCACTCGCTTTATGATCTCACCACATTGTTTTAGTTCCTCAAGCTGTTGTTTCCTACTTTGGAACCTTTACATGTGCTGTTTGTTCTATTGGGCTGCCCTTCCCACCTATCCAGTCATCTCCCCTCCATACCATGTGACTGGCCTCTGCTTTGTTGACCAGAATAAAATTGTGGTAACGACTTTCTATGTAGCTTACCCAGGAGCAAGAAAACATTGCTCAGGCCAGTGCAAGATCCAGTCCACTTGAAATGTGTATCATGATGTAGGAGATGTGGTTTATCAGTGCTTGTGAACTTTGAAAAGCTACTCTGTTAAAAATAAAGTTTCTGTTTTTCCTGCAGATTCACACCAGTTCTCAGGTTTAGGTACAAGGATGTTCATTGCATCACTAAAGCTTTCATCAGTAGGGGGTCAGTTAAAGTAGTTCCAAAGCCATACCTTGGAGTGTAATGTGTTGAAAAGAATTATGTAGCTGAATAAAAACTTTTTACTAAGAGACCTACATGACATGTCAGAGTGGAAAAAGCAAGTTGGGAACACAAGCAGATGCAATGTAAGATCCTGAACTGGATCCTAATTTGAACAAATCCGCTATAACGGATATGTTGGGGTAATCAGGGAAATTTAAATATGGACTGGCTCTTGAAAACTTGTTGAGAGGTAGCAAGCATTAACTGAATAAAATGCACAGTATCTCATTTTGATAAACAAAAACCTGTAAGTGATAAGTTGCTTTTGCAAATGGCCACAAGATACCTTCCTATCCCTGTATTTTAAGCCAATGATTTGCTAACTTAGTTTTAGGAGCCCTTTATGATCTTAAATTATTACATATATGAAAGAGGTTTTTCCCACATACACACACACACACAAAAAAAAAACCGGGTGGGGTGGGGTGGGGAAGAAGATATAACAACTATACTTCCATGAAGTTGTTACAACAAGCAAACGGAAAGGACATTCTTGGGGGGGAGGGGAGAGAGGGAGGAGGGAGGGAGGTGTCGGTGACGGGCCATAATAATCATATACAGTGTATATTGACAAAAAAAAAAAAAAGATATAACAACTATACTTCCATGAAGTTGTTACAACAAGCAAACGGAAAGGACATTCTTGGGGGGGAGGGGAGAGAGGGAGGAGGGAGGGAGGTGTCGGTGACGGGCCATAATAATCATATACAGTGTATATTGACAAAATTAAAAAATAAATAAATAAATAATTTTTAAAAAAAAAATAAAAAGAAAGAGGTTTTTGGTTATGTGAGTATGTCTTGATAAAATCAAGAAGTTATTAACATGACATTATGCTATTCCATGTTAATATGAATAACATTTTAATGAGAAATAACTTCCGGACAAAAAATAGTTTGAGAAGTGTGGCATTGTTTTACATTTTTGCAAATCTCTCTTAATGTCTGGCTTAATGGGAGACAGATTTTCATATTTCCATTCTCATGTCAGGTTCTGCATTTAATCTGTTGCAATATTACATGTTATATACTACACCTCTGGAAAACTTCATTCTACACTCAGGAGAGAAATGAGAATGTCTTAGTAGTATGACAAATTGTTTTGACTTCATGGATCCCCTTTAAAGGATCTCATTGTCATGGAAGGATCCCTGGATCATACCTTGAGAACACCTACGCTAGCCCCTTTGCATCATTCCAAAAGTGGAATCAAACATTCCACCTCTTCTGACTTGTTTTAACCAAAAGAATGTGGCATAAGTGATATGGAACATCCAGCCTAGTCCAGCTGCCATTCTTGCCCTCTTGGGGCACTGTTGCAGGCATGTGAAGAAGCCGGGGCTAGTCTCCCTGAGGATGGATGAGACCACATGGTGAGAGACGACCCGCCAAGAGCCAGCTCCAACCACCAGCTCTGTGAGTGAGGCCACCTCAGGCCAGTCAGCCGCAGTCAAACTGCCACATGCCAGTCAGCCGCAGTCAAACTGCCACATGACTGCAGCCACATGAATGACCCTAGGCAAGACCAGAAGAACTGCCCAGCAGAGGCCAAACCCTAAATGCTGACCCTCAGAATTATAAACATATAAAATTGTTATTTTAAGCCACTGTTTGATATAATAACTGATGTTATGTTTATACATATGCTTTGAAAAGTCTGGGAGACATAAAGTGTTAACAATAGTCATCTTGAAGGATAGGAATAGTGTCTATTTTCTTTTGCTTATCCATATGATCTAACTTTTAAAAGTGCGTATATACTGCTTTTATAACAAAAGATCATTTTTATTTATTTTGTCAAATGCATGTAGTATTTTTATTTTAAAAAAAAAAGCAAATTGCATTAGAGCACAGCCTTATAACTCCAAGGTCACAGCTTCAGGTCTCCGTACCAGCCAGCCATGCCCCTCCCCCCGCAGAAAAAACAATTGCAGAAAGTTATGTAAAATGTCACATTTGTTTTAAAATGTATGTAGTTTTACAGCTATATAAAAATGTGTGTGCAGGGCCAGCCCGTGGCTCACTCGGGAGAGTGCGGTGCTGGTAACACCAAGGCCACTGGTTCGGATCCTATATGGGGATGGCCGGTTGGCTCACTGGCTGAGCGTGGTGCTGACAACACCAAACCAAGGGTTGAGATCCCCTTACCAGTCATCCTTCAAAAAAAAAAAAAAATGTGTGTGCATAAATACAAAAGTTTAAAAAGAATACAACTTACCCAAATGAATTAAAAATATGCCCACACAAAAGCCTGCACATAAATGTTTACAAAAGTTTTATTCATAATTGCCAAAACTTGGAAGCAACCAAGATGTCCTTCAACAGGTGAATGGGTAAACTGTGGTACACCCATGCAACAGAATATTATTTAGTGATAAAAAGAAATGAGCTCTCAAGCCACAAACTACATAGAGAAACCTTAAATACATAGTACTAAGGAAAATAAGCCAATCTGAAAAAGCAACATACTTAGATTCCAACTATATAACATTCTAGATAAGGCAAAACTAGGAAGACTGAAAAAAGAACAGTGATTTACTAGGGCTTGGGAATGGGTGGCAGGGTGGAGAAGGAGGGATGAACAGGTGGAATGTGGGACTTTTAGGGCAGGGAATCTATTCTGTATAATACTAGAATAGTGGATAAATGTCATTGTACATTTTTTAAAACCTATAGAACGTACAACAGAGGGTGAACCCTAATGTAAATTATGGATATATTGATATATTAATATACAATGATATATATCATTATATCCATATATTTATACATATCAATAATGGCTCATCAACAGTAACAAATGTACCATGCTAATGCAAGATATTAATAATAAGGGAAGCTGGAAGATTAGGAAATAAGTATACAGGAACTCTACTTTTCATTCAATTTTTCTGTAAACCTGAAATTTTCTGTAAACCTCAATTTTCTGTAAACCTGCTGAAAAATTAAAGCCTATTGGGCTGGTTGGTTCACTCACTTGGGAGAGTGTGGTGCTGGTAAACACTAGTATGGGTTTGGACCCCCATATTGGCCAGCTGCCAAAAAAATTTAAAGCATATTAATTTTTAAAAGTGTACATATGAGGGGTCTTCAAGAAGTTCATGGAGGGCTTAGCTTATTTGGGAGAGCATGGTGCTGATAGCACCAAGGTCAAAGGTTCGGATCCCTTTACAAGCCAGCCATCAAATTTAAAAAAAAAAATTTCTTTAAAGATTTGTTTATCTTTTAATTCCACTTCTCCACAAACTTTTTGAAGTACCCTCGTATATACCTAGATATGCATTAATTTCTAAAAGGATACACTCAAAGAAAACTTTTATAGAGTTTACATATGGGAAATTATTTTTGGTTTGTTTGGCAGCTGGACGGTATGGGGATCTGAATCCTTGACCTTGGTATTATAATATCACCTGTAACCAACTGAGCCAACTGGTCAGCCCTTACACATGGGAAATTGTACTGGGAATTATAACTTTAACTTTTCCAGCTATGC